CGTTACAAAAGGAATGCCCATCATGTTAGTACAAACATAAACCCGTAGAGAAAAGGATAAAAATACTTACACAATTTTCAATTTTAGTATAACTTTTTAAACTGCCATCAATGGTCTAATATCCATACACTATCCAATAATGTCTAGGTGAAACCTCATCCACAGTTGTAAAACCGTACCGTAGCTCAATAAGCTAGCTTTAGAAAAGCAAATCGAAGCATAAATAGCCGCTGATTCAGTCGGATATTTCAAGCAGCACAATGGACACATGTCAGAAAGTCAAAAGCTGCAAAAACTCAAGTGGGTACAAATTTGGAAAGTTTCGACTTTCATGCACGATCACTTCTCACACCATGCAGAAGTCGTATCAACCAAACAGAGAGAACTCGCCTTCGGGTGCTTTGTAACCTCTCACCAGCTCTGCAGATGCTTATCTACTCAAATTCCACTGAAGGCGGTTATGTCGATCGGTTGGCTGCGGCTGGGCTAAAATTGTGCTGGGAAAATATCACGAAAAAGGAGCGACCAACGAAAAACGCAGGGATCTATCAGTTTTGCCTCCTTCATTGCTTCCTGATTCTTCAAGATGTAAGGTCGAATAATGAACAATCTTTTTCGAGACATTGCTTTTTTGGGAAGAGATTGAGAACCTTTTTCTTGGCTATCTGAGCAGTTTATAGGTCTACTACAGTTATACAGCATTTGATTCTTGTTTGTCACATTGTCTATTTGGATTATGTATCTGCAAGCAAATAGACAATGTGACAAACAAGAATCAACCGCAGTATAACTGTAGTAGACTTATCTCAGATAGCCAAGAAAAAGATTCTCAATCTCTTCCCAAAAGACTGGCAAAAAATACGTTTCAAATGCAGAAATAGACATCATCCAACTATATATAATTCGCTGAGTGTGTCTTTGGCTTGTCGGTGTGTGTCGGTGTGGCGTTTGACTGGAAATTCATGACTCCCATGCCCGTGGACCTAGAAGGTTCAAAATTGGTAGGAGTACAGGTGGCAGGTTGCAAACAATTATGGTGGGTAGCTGGACTCCGCCCACAAGGAGCGGGGCATGTGCGAAAGAAATGTTTGACGGAAACTCATAACTCCTTTCTCCCTGGACCTAGAGTACCAGCGTTAAGATAGGATAATTGACGGTTGGAGCTAAGAAGTTATAACACTTGATAGCAGTCGATAAGGAGCCTTCAAAGGTTTAGAGCCACATGGCCCGCTACCTCCTTCGTGTTAACGGTGGAGCCTTGGCATTTTAGTAGGTATGTGGGACGTGAAGGAACCGTAGGTGATTGAAAACAAGGACCGGACCGATAACAAACGATGAGGGTTAGAAAAGAGCCATAGAGAGCTAGAGTCACAAGATATCACCTATCGAAAAGGTAAGATTCCAGTTCCACTGAAATTGGAATCTTAGCGTTTTGAAGGTGATGTGAGATGTTATGGGGCCATAGGTACTCCGTGATAGGAATTGATAACAACCAATCAGGGTTAGTAAGAGACCTTAGAAATTCATAGCCACTCAAAGATCCAGGTTTGACTCGTTGATGTGTTCCATCAGATAAGATGGGTGAGTGCAATGATAGAGATCGTTTGGAAGCAGACGTCATGAGGGCATGAAGCTGCGACAGAACTTACCCAACCGCCAAGCCTAAGGTTCTTGACTAATATAATTTGGTTTTAATTTTAAATGGATACTCTGTACATGTATGTTTGATACTTACTGTTTTTCATTCTTCTTATGATGGAGACTTCTAGATAGCCGGGCGATCCTACTAGTCCTACTACATATACAATATTTTTCTAAGTGTGCCTGTTGGTTTGTCGGTACGTATGTTTGACCGGAGATTCATAGCTCCTGCCCCCCTAAAACTAGAACGTTCAAATTTAATGAGGATAAAGGCGACTCGATAGGAACGTGATGGTAAGTGACAAGAGTGAAACGATTGATGAGAGCTATGATGAGGTTATAGGGAAGGGCCACACAACCCGCCACCTACTCCACGTTGAAGATAGAGCACTGGCACTTTGGTAGGTGATGATGGATGAGAAGGGACCGTGAATTATTGGTGAGAGATTGATAACAAGTGAAAGAGACTGTGAACGAGCGGTAGAAGACAATAGCCATTAGGTCTATCGCCCTTGGTATTAAAAGTGGAGGTATGGCACTTCGGTAGGTGGTATGGGATGTGAAGAGACCATAGATGATTGGTAGCAAGGGCTGACAAAGAGCAGTGGAAGGCTAGAGCCATTACATCTGTAACGCATTTCGTGTTGACAGTACAACCTCGACATTTTCATAAGTGATGTAGGATGTGACGGGTCGTCTGTGCTCTGCGAAAGGAACTGACAGCAATTGGTGAGAGGGGGTAAGTTTTAAGTTTTTNTTTTTCTCTTCTATTACGGAACCAATCTTTATTTCTACTCACTCACTAGTTTACCTCCATCAAAAACAAATTCTTGAATAAGTACTCAGAGTATGCCTCCACTTTTCGAAAACTATCGTAAGTGTTTACATTAGATCAGATTGCATTTTTCGATCTCGCTACTTAGACCAATAAGTCAGTTTTGTATTGATACATCAACACATCGTTTCTTTCCTTTGCCTGTTCAACTTCTAAATTACGTGTGGCGAAGGCTCACTTGAACCTTGCCCTTGAATACTCCCTCTCTGTATACATGCAGCACTCAATTATTGAAAAGCCTTGAGCCATGTTTGGTTGAGTGGCTCGCATTATGAGGATATAAAATGAGTAACCTGACTTCCAGTAATCCATTTTCTACTGGAATGTTCTGCTACTTTATACCACTCGACACTTCAGGTGACAATTGTTCCTGTACATTCACGAGAACATAGAACAACACATTCACGAGTAGAAAAATAGTCTGCCGAATAAATTTTCTGCTACTAGGGCACTCTTGCATTTCTCGGTTTACACATCACATTCTTTGACATTTTGATTTGAACAAGCAACTCCCCGGATATATATCGCATACGGAACAGGAGCAGCGCACCTCCACTTTATGGGCCTGGACGAGCCTTTTTCAGTCCATTTTCATCTGGGTATGAACCAGAATGCGCTGTCGTCATTGTCTTACCGAAACTTTATCGTGTTACGTACAGAAACCTAGCAAAAGAGCTGTGATCGCGTCAGGAGCTACCATCTGCATTACCTTTGAAGGCGAAAAGCCCTGACACAAGCAGCTCCGGCCGCAGCACAGCGGTTTAATCTGGCGAGAGCGGTAACTCACCTGAACCACTACTACTATTATTTGACCCATTAACTGAAATAGCATTCAGCGACTATCGAGTCCCCACCAGATCGAATTTTCTCGATTAATGACCGATCAGTCCTCTCTGCAGTCACTTCAACCCTATCCTCTCCCCTTACCGCTTCCCCCATCTTAGAGTTGTTGTCCAGGGATTTTTGAAATAGGGTCTCCCTCGAGGCGGAGGCGGAAAGCACAGAAGCTCCAGAAATATGTGATAAATCAAAGTAAGATTTATCCACTTTCATTCTAAATTGTACGGTCGCACTCCGGATTTTTTTATCTATCGATTCTCAAACTCTTATGGCAAGGGAAAAGGTACAGTAAACAGTTTCTGGAAAATGCCCATTGGCCCGCGGTATTGATTTTTCGGGCGCGAGCTTAACTTCTCATCGGAGCTCCTCGCCGTTTTGTGGAAGCAGGCAAGCCAACAATGAAAGGCAGAAGCCTTCAATGAACAGGCAATGGATAGTCTTTACTCTAAGGCAAAAGTCGGTAAAACCCAGTCTCTCAGCCAAAACTCTCAACTTGCCTTAGAGGACGAATAATCGGCAGATCTACTTCATTTTGAAAGAACTACATCTTCTCCATCCCTAGAAACTGTTTTCCTTCCAAAACATGATGCCCTTAATCATAAGGTATTAGTCAAGGCGCCTTTGCTCTGCCACGCTGTCAACGCAGCCACTTGATCTTTATACAACCACTTCCGCTTCAGTAACAGTCTTGGCATTTTACCAGAAATCAGGGAAACGATAACTCCTCACTGAGAGTGCTCCCTCCTTGGGGCACCTTGGGATTTCTCGGTTTACACATAATATTCTTTAACATTTCGATTTGAATACAAGGAACTTCCCGAATATATCTCGCATGCGGAGCAGGAGCTGCGCACCTTTGTATTGTGGACCTGGACGGGTATTATTCAATACTTTTCATCTGAGTATGAACCAGAATGCGCTGACATCATCGTCTTACGAAACTTAGTCGTCTTACGTGCAGAAACCTCGTAGAGGAGCCGTGATCGTGTCAGGAGCTATCATCTGCATTACCTTTGAAGGCGAAAAGCCCTGACACAACCAGCTCCGACCGCAGCACAGCGGCTTAATCTGGCGCGAGCGGTAATTCACCTAAACCACTACTACTATTATCTGACCCATTTACTGAAATAGCATTCAGTGGCTATCGAGTCCCCACCAATTCGAATTTTCTCGAGTAATGACCGATCAGTCCTCTTTTGAAATAGGGCCTCCCTCGAGGCGGAAGCGGAAAGCACAGAGGCTCCTAAAATATGTGATAAATCAATGTAAGATGTATCCGCTTTCATTCTCAATTGTACGATCGCACTCCGGATTTTTTTATCTACCGATTCTCAAACCCTTATGGCAAGGGAAAAGGTACAGTAAACAGTTTCTGGAAAATGCCCATCGGCCCACGGTATTGATTTTTCGAGCGCGAGCATAACTTTCTCATCGGAGCTCCTCGCCGTTTTGGGCGTGTCTACAGATAGCGCCCACAGGCGTTTATAAGCTAATCTACATCGGTAGTGGGTCTATCAAAACGTATAAGAAATAGTGTCTGTCCTTTTATGTACCTACAATGCTCGAATATTTTTATTTTCAAAAATAATTCGAGTTTTTTAAATAATCTTTTTTCATAACAACGGTTTAATAAAATTTTTCATAACAACGGTTATAAAACACTTTACAATCTCAAAAATAATACTCAATTGCCACCCTTCGTTCTTTTGGTAGAAGAGGTAGAGGCTCCATCTTGAAGATCCCTTTTCCGGGGGATGGTACGAGTTACCTGAATTTTACATGAATTATAACCCTAAACAAATTATATAAGTTAGTAATATTTACCTCCGTATGCGAATTCTCATCATTCCTTTTAGTGGCTAAAGAGTTTAGAGATTCCAGTTTTAAAACTCCCCATTTTAGGATACCATTCTAAAATTACTTATATTTACAAATCACTTTATACACAATACATCAATATCAATAGATTAACTAGTTATCTTGTACATATAATTAGAAATGACCTCATAATTTTGCAGTTCAGCATTATTCAGCAAAAACTTAATTGGTGTTCCATTCCAGTCACGGTAATCCCAACCAAGCTGAATAGCGAGAACTGTGGACTTAAATTTCTAAATATTATTACTCTAAGAAATACACTACTACAACATAACTCCGATATTATTTAATAATTTATATATAACATACTATTTATAAAACAAAAATTATGTAACAAAGATTTAAATAACAAGTAATTATATTTATGTTGTTACTCACCAAAGAGTTGGCGTTTGCCCGGTCCTTTATCATGACATATGGGCCTTTCACTACTATTTCAGGCAAAGCTGCGTGCGTTGACAATAACTCCTTTCGAATTTTTTGCCGTAGGTACAATCTAAATAATGTAGTCATATTCATCTAGTCATATATTCAAGATCCTTAATTTAACATACCCTAAGTTTTCGAGATCAGTATGCTTCATCGTTTTTCCTCTCAGCAATTTGACATTCGTGTTATTTTTACGATTGAATTCAAGTAAATTTTTACTTCCTTTAGACAAAAAATGTTCCCAGAACGAATAGGTCATTTCAGCCTATAATTAGTATATAATAATAACTTACACTATTAACAAAATAGAAAAAATTATCAGTTAAAATTCATGCACTCACTCGGAAAGACGTGAAGTCACCATAATTGCCAGCGTGCCTTAACCAAGTAAGTGGGAAAGGATCCATTTCAATATCGTATCTATACTTTTAAAAGAATAGCAATATTATTTATAATTACAATACAGTACGTACCTTACAACGTCTTTTATAAACTTTCTTGCGATTTCCTTCAAAGGCGCTCGGGTAACGTTTGGCATCATCAAAACTCTGATTTGTTTAGAGGTGACGCAGTTATTGATCTGCTCTTGCATTCTTTCCCTCCTCTTGTCCTGATCGTTTTCGGAGTAATCAAACCCAGCGCGCTTAAAATAGCATTGCTTCACTATGTTGAATGTAACAACTGGATTTCAGAATGCGAGTAATACCATTATCCTAATAAGTAACAACTTAAACAAGAGCATTACAATACTTTGTTGAATGTAACAATTGTAATTCAGAATGCGAATAATGTCATTGTCTTAATTAGTAACAACTTAAACGAAATAGCCAAGTTTTGTTTACTATGCAATAAAGAAAACGATCATTTGTTATTATGTTCCTTTATAGAAAAATGTTCAATATATCGTGTTATTAAGGCTTACAGTTCACAATCTCAATCTTAATCTCAATCTTACAGTTCACAATCTACATACTATTTATAACTCGGAGGAAATTACACGATTTCGCTCAACTACGAAGTGTTACAGTTAAACCATTTCTAAACTGGACATATGTAAGTGGTAAGTAGATAATAAAAAAAGACGTGACTCACACTCGAAACAGTTGAGATGGAGTTGATTATACCAGTGTTCCATTCCGCCACCTGAAACATTCATATATTGATTAATGTTTTTATGTCTTCCATTATGGATTATGTAGTATAAAGGTACAGACATGACCCTAGTCCTACAACAACATTCTTAAATATATCAATAACTAGGAGATATTAACTCATAGTTGCAATTGAATTTTTTAATACTCACCTTTGTAACGGTCAAGGGTGATGCCCTACCATCGACACTGGAACCGGTACTCATCTATAATGCACATAGTTGAAATATCATTCGTTTTACCAATATTAGTTAAACGGAGTTACGCAAAAGCAATAGAGGCAAAGACTACATACAAACATCACCTATAACGGAGTATTTTGAATTAACATCACATTAAAAACAAAACATAAACAAAGCACTATATTAAATGTGATGATATATGCAGCGTGAAGCGCGCTGACATATATGTGCGTGCTCCTTCTGGAGACCGACTCCTTATATATTCGTTCGCATTGCATATATTGCATATGTAACAAATGGGATATATTGATTGATGACACATCGGACTTATAGTACAGAAAGGAGAATTTAGGCCGCAACCAATAAGGTTAGGGTACGGTACATGGAACGCACTGCTATTATGAACATCAACAACACAGGTTAATAGTTAACAACGTTTAGAATTCTTTTCTAATATAGGATATACGATAGAATGAACAATAAAGGAAAATATCACTTAGTTTAAAATATACTTTATTCATATATTATAATACAATGCATTACTTCAATTAACCGTCCACTTTATCACCGATTAGTATTAAACACTAAGAAATAATTGTTTTCATAGTGAGCACATCATACATTTGCTACCCTTATGGCACTTTATTCCCCAATATTTTTTTTTTAAATGGGATTATGACACAATCCCTCTACACTCCTTCACCCATTCAAAAAGAGGGCCATACCTCTTGTTAAAAATAGGGATTGGTACTGAAGGGGTTTATAAAAGTCAAAAGTGGCATGGGGGGTCAATTTTTGGCGCCTCCAGTACCAATCGTTCCTTTTTGGAACACATGAGGGTTGCCAAACCCTGACAGCAATCCTGTCGAACCCAATCCGGGAGACTCCTCTCTGCATATGGGCTTGACCTCCCGTATGCTTAGATGAAGGTCAAAAAATCAAGCCTCCAATTATTACAAAGAAAATAAATTTGAGAAGGTAAGAGAAGGGGAAAACCACTACATTTTAAAAGATTTTGGCAATAATAATAAGGGTTGCAAATGTGTAAAAATATGTAAAGTTTGTAGTATAACGGATACTAACAATTACATCTTCTCTAATGCAACAGGTCTGAAAATTAACACATATAAAGATAATAATACCTGTTGTATTACTAAAAATGTGATTTATTGTATAACTTGTATACGTTGTGGAATACAATATGTAGGAATGACTACAAGAAGGCTAAAGGATAGAATAAGAGAGCACCTTCTGAATATATCCACCAATAAGATTAACACACCCTTATATAATCATATGCAAAATTGTGGAAAAGAAATAAAAGTCACAGTGTTGGACTCTCTAAATTCTAATGATAAAAATATCTTGCTAGAAAAAGAGTTATTTTGGATTAAACTTCTTATGACAGCACTGCCATTTGGCCTTAATGATAATATTAAAGGATACGGTAACATAACTGACATTAACAATCCTAATAAGTATAACAGAGCTCCTCCCTATTTTGCACTTAAGATCCGGAAAAAAAGATATAATAGAGGCAAAAAAACTAAAAAAACTAAAAATAGAGGGTGTAAAGATAAAATNACGTGTCAAGAGGTAATATCAGAAATAATAGATAAAGAAGAGGACCTCAAACCCATAGAGTGTTACAGATTGATTAATAGATTGAGTAAAAAAGAAATTAATAAAATGATACAATCGTCAGTTTCGGAAGAATTCTTACAATCAGTTAATAATAAAACTAAATTTCTAGTATTATGTATATTAGCACATTATCAATATAGTGATCCATCCAATAGGAGAACCAAAAGGGAATGTCATAATGTGATAATAGAATATAAAAGTAGAATTTATAATGAAATTCCTTTCAATAGGATATTCAACCATAACATCATCTCACGGATAATTAATTATAACGAAGTCAGATTTAAAGAAATAGTACCTATTAGAATAATATATAGGTATGGCTGTCCGGTATCCAGTAAGATTAACAATTATAATAAAGTACTCAAGGCATTGAGTGATGAAACACTAAGAAATAAACTTATAAATGATTGTCTATGCCAAAAAACATTCTTCGAAGAGTTTGTGGACAAAAACTCAGGACATATCATTACTGGAAACCTAGGTATCATCAAGGAAGGAGTACTCAGAAATCTGTTGGAAAAGGGAACAAAATACAGAATTGACCAAGGAATAAGTAGATTAGAGGTTAAAATTACATATTTAAATATAGTACATGATATCCTCAAATTTTATAAAAACAAATATAACATGAATACGGAAAAAATAAGGCAAATGACGAAGTATTTCTATGCAGAATTCCATAATAAAGTAAAGCCACTACTAACGTATAATAGACTGGAACCCACGAAGGAAACAATTCCCTATGAACTAATTAAAAAATATCAAGAAGACTTCGTTTTCTGTCCATTGGATAAAGCTAGCAATAATTATGGGATAATTTGCATGAAATATTACTTAATGACTATTATGAAAGAAATGGGTATGAAATACGATAAAAATAAGAACAAATTTCTACACAGCGATACTAATAATACCTACAACAAAATAGAATGTAATAATGAATACAATTTAATATTTAAACATAAAATGCTTTGTATACGTAACAAGCTCAAAGTATCGGACAAAGCTTCAATTCCGATCATTTACGCACTACCTAAGTTACATAAGAACCCTATAAAGTTCAGATATATTACTGGTGCTAGAGAAAGTAGTACAAAAACATTAGCCAAGGAAATGCACAATATTTTTACCTTTATCAAATCCCATTTCATAAAATATGCAAATATAACAAGAATCAGAAAAAAATCTATTAAGAATTACTGGTCTATTAGTAATATTAACATTAGTGAAGAATTGAGAAGTATACGCTACCCTGGTTTAAAGATTTATACAGCGGACTTCACAGATATGTTCACTAACCTAGAACACTGCCTCATTATAAAGAATATTCAAAATCTAATCCAAATATGTTTTCGTAACGCTAATAAAGATATGATAGTCACTAATGGTTTCAAAGTTTTCTACTCAGATGGTAAAAATGTCAACACTAATTACAGAAAGTACAAAAAACAGGATTTAATATACTTAATGGAATATTTGTTAAACAACAGTTACTGTGTGTTTAATGGAACATTATATAAGCAAAGCAAAGGGGTGCCACAAGGAGGTAACTTTAGTCCTCTTTTGGCAGACCTTACACTTTCTGTGATGGAATTCAACTACAGCACATCTTGTGAGTTCCATAATAATAAGCTGTTTATTCCATTCAGATATATGGATGATTTGCTAGTGGTACATAATCAGAAAGAAGAAGAAATAGAAAATGAGCTTAAAAGAATTTATGAAGGAAAGCTGGAATTTAAAAAAACAAGTATTGATGAAAGTAACAGCAATTATTTAGATTTAAATATAACTATTAGGGATAATAGAATAATCACCTCCCTATATAATAAAACTGACGACTTTACATTTAAAACTCTTAGATTTCCTCATAAAGATTCCAATATCTCCAAGAATAATAAAGCCTCAGTTATATATACTGAAACACTTAGGATAGCTAACACTTGCTCCATGATGGATACATTCAATAATAAGTTGAAGGATATGATTGCCACACTTAATTCTAATGGATACAGCAAAGAGTTTATTGCAATAAATATTGTTAAATGTCTATACAGAAATAAATTTATTGCATACAAATTTAAAATAATCAACAACATTAAGGATATTGAAAAATTTGTTAACAATATACTTACATAAACACTTGCCTATTTAGGATGCTTTAGATGATGGTTCTAAGGTTGTACTTGGTTATATAGAGAATGAGATTTATGACTGCCTCCTTTAAATAATCCTTATAGACTTCTACTAACTTAACAATTGGTTATGACATGTGTTCTGACACACTCCACTTCGATTAAAGGTCCTTTAAGACCGTTTCGGCGGGAAAAATCTTATTTAAGTTCAACGACTACCTAGTAGTTCAGATTTCTGGATGTTTTTCCCCACTTTATTAATTTGCTTTCTTATCTTTTGCATACTCATTATTTTAGTAACAGTTATTTCTCGCATCTCGTGCTTGCCATTAAGTGACTTCTATATCCATACCTTTTTATGGTCATCACTTAATCACTGAAGATGCCTCGGGTGATGACTGACATTGGTTCGTATGATGAAGAGGCGAAACGGACCAATTTCTTGCTTTTTCTCGTCTTTTTCTCGTCTTCTCTTTTAAGTTAGCCCAAGACTTTGTCTCTCTCTATGGTTTAGCTGGGCAATGAAGACCTCCTTGTTGACAGTAGCATTTCGTTCGAGCATTTCCCAGTGCACCGTGCCTTTCCAGTCTCACCAAACGCAAATCATGACCTATTTCGAGTGAAGGTCTTGCTTGTCTCTCGGCTTCGGTGTCTCTCCTGGGGCCACCCAGAGACACACCTAAGACACCTTCCTCGTACACACTGCATATGTCCCGAGCGGCTTCGGCTGCTTATTGACCTCGATGAAAAGCAGATGTCGAAAATGCTGATTTTCTCCTCCTGGATATTCCAATTCTGAGCCAGAAAAAAGACGTACATTAGATTATCCAAAAAAACGAATAAAACTATTTTATAGAGGAGAAAGAGCTCTTCCGAATGAATATATACACTTCGCCAAAAAACAAAGCGAATCGTTGTAAAATGACCCTAACACAAAACTCTACGAATTTATGTTACAACCCAATACGTCCACAACTGTTGCCTGGTCTGGTTGTGGTGGCTTTGCCGCATGACGTCGTAGAGTGGAGGCAATTTCTCTGTTCCTATGACCCCCCTACCCGCTTCTTTTGCAAATTTACAACTTTGGCACACAGGGAAGCTGTAAGAAGCTGTACAAACTCTGTTCCCAATGAATCAAAACACGATCCAATCATCGAATTATCGTCATCTAAGAGATTTTTCATGGTAAGGTTTTACTTTTTCAGGAAGATAATCTTGTCCCTAAGTAGATTACGGATAGTT